CACACACACACACACACACACACACACACACACACACACACACACACGAGGATGTACACTGTTAACCACTAAATTAAGCACAAATGCTAAAGTAAACACACAAGAAGTGAAGTTACAGCAAAACACAATGCCTGACTTAAAAAAATACACATGGAACACAGAGTTACACAAATAAAATCCATAAATATAAAGTATTTACCATTTGAAACTTCATTCCATCTGAGCCCGATTTAATCATCTTACACGCTTGTCTGTTCTTTGCAGTTGACATGTTTTGGAAAATTAAACGTGAATAATTGCTTTGTTAGTTTATCCTCAGAAATGATCCAAAGCCACCAAAAAATATCACATTCTATTTTATTGCATTTTATTACACAAAACATTTATGATGCACAGTCTATCAAATAAACTTTTTTGTTTCATTTCATGTTTTTTTAAACAAAACAAACAAACAAAAAAAAAACATTTCAAATGGGGGAAAAAGTGCTTTACAGGGATTTACCATCTCAATAAATACAAGGACATTGAGGTCTTGTTGGATCCTGTTCTTCACACTATGGCCATGGAACTAAAATACAAATGCACACTCTATACCCCTGCCAAAACTCACACATTCACACACAGACACACACACGTCTTAATATGTACAAAGCCAGTCATTTTATACTGTCCATATTGTACCAATACAATATTCCCTGCCTGCTTGTGTGGAACACACACACACACACAGAGGCTGAACAAGCAACCTTATAAATTATAAATTAGTAACAATACATCTGTGGGAAAATCTGGAAATGTGGTCTGATTTTGCAGGAATGTGAAGTTTGACTTGTATGGTCATCTCAGACTTTCCTCTTTAAACAGGACTGTGACGGTTTAAAGTCTGCAAACTCCTGCTTATAACCGGTGTTTTATTCACGTAACAGCTCAAATGTTGTCCTTTGCGGCTTCATTTAATGGTAAACAGACAAAATGCTACAACAGAGTCTATTAAATAGTTTGTGATTTTCTGCCAATTGAAGATTTAGGAGTCTCATAATTTTTCCTGCGTAATAACAGTTAAATGTTTAGTGAGAAATATCACTTTGGAAAAGATAAGGCACATAATATTTTCTTGTCTCTAATTCTGCACCTCAGTTCGGTGGGAAAGGAAGGAGGAAGTTTCTGGTTTTCTGAGACGTCATAAAGTCAATATGTCATTCCAAAATAAAAAATATTTCAACAATCAAAGATTCCTGTTATATTTAGATTCCTTCATGGTTGCTTAGAGAGAAAAGAGCCAGGAGCCTTACCTCTAATGTGGTCTACTGTGGCCTTTGGGCCACAAAGATAGTTCCCCTTTAAATTTCTCTTCGTGTTTTGACAGCACTTCAAGAAGTTTCCTTGCTCAGTTTATCCCTTTAAAGCTCCCTTCACCTCCACATTAGGTGGTGGCTGAGTAGAGTGGAGGATGCTGTACACGTGAAGCAAAAGGGTCCGTGTGAAACATAGTCTGTGAGTTTAATGATAAACGCTTCCAAGTCATTTTTGGAAGTCCTATCCCCAGAAAAGAACATAATCACAGATGGTTTTTAGCTTTTATCTCGTTCATCCATTTCTCTTTTTTTCTGGTTTCAGTGGACAAGGCTCCTGCAATATTTGTCTCTTCTCCACGCTGACTCCTGGATGACCTTCGAGTTGGTTCATGAGACATCACTGATGTTAGATCAGGGGTTGGGATCGGGAGGTCAGGGGTCATAAGGGCCATGTCGGAGAACTAGCGACTGAGGGGGAGCTGAGGCAGCGACATGGCCTGATGAGAGAGACTCTGAGAGGTCAGGACAGAGAAGGGATGACCTGGGGAGCAAATCATAAAAAACACACAAGATTAAAAAAAAACAAAAGAAAAGCAAAATGTGTGTCTTACAAAGCAACTCCCATAATTTAAGAAGTCAAAACAAATACTAAAAATGATGTGCCTATTTACACCACAGTAAATGATAACTCACTGTCAATGTACCCATGAAGGGCCACCATGCGCGCTCGCTCGGGACTGCCAAACGGAGAGTAATGCAGCTCATCGGGCAGAGATGAGGGTATCCTGGACTGAGGATGACCTTGAGGAGCCCCGCTGTGCTGGGGCGTGTGCTTTTTATGTCTTGCTCTGCAGTTTTGAAACCACACCTATGAAGATGCAATGTAACCAGACATCATGTGGCTATATTCTTAAAGTTTGTCTTTTCAGTGTACTGTAAGAATGTGTTCCATTAGTTTAGCATTTTAACATTTAATTATATTGACGTCATCCATTCGTGCTTTTTATACACACTGCTCACCTGTATGACTCTTCTGCTTAGGCCTGTCATGTCGGCTAGCTTCTGTAGCGTCTGGGCATCCGGATTGTTGTCCTGAGCAAACTGTGCCTGCATGATCTGCACAATGAGACAAAATATTAGGTACTGTGTCAGGGCTTTGGCACAGTAAATCAACGTTGTGCACTTCGGTGTTGCTGAGAGCGTTTCTCACCTGTAGCTGTTCTGCGGTGAACGATGTCCGTGCTCTTTTGGCCGGTTTGGGTTGACTGTCTTGTTCTGTTGGAACTGCTCCCTCTAATGTGATGCCATTGCCTAAACAATTACACACACACATGCAAGTCAGATAATAGTTCAGTGATAAATAAAGTGACTATAGATGTCAGGAGACATAGGTAGTCTACAGGACTTGAAAAATGTATCATATCAAAGGGACCTCAGGAGTTTTGATGCCCCAGCAGGGACCCAAATTTAAGAGCCGTGGCCTACTTTTCCGCTCTTGCAGCATAACATGCTAATTCTGTAGGTATTACCGTTCTCAGAAAATTAACAGATATCAATCATTTGAAATAGTTATGACAAGGAATGATTCAATCAGACAATAAATTTGCTGAAAAGCACAGCTTCAGATATATCTTGTCATTTACCCAACCACTCACCGCTCTCAGCTGCTCGTTTGAGGTTCTCCACCATGGTGTCATAGTGGATTCGGCACAAGACCTTCTCCTCCACCAAACCAAACTCTTCTCCCGTGGACAGCTGCCTCTTACACGAGTAGCAGGCAAAACATGCCAAGTGGTATGCGTTTCCCCTTGCACGCCGCACCCAGTCGCTGGCGTATATCTGCCGCCCGCAGCGGGCACACTTAGTACCAAACCTACTGTGAGGGGGAGAAGAACAGAGCAGGAGAATGAGGAATTATGGGCAAAAAAAAAAAAAAGGGAAAAAGATAAAATTGTTGCAGAACAGAAAATGAAACATACACAGTGACTTCCTTTTCTTTGAGAATATTTTCTTGAAGTGAAGTTTGACATGAATTTGTTTTTTAATTTCTGGCAAAGCTCAGAAGCTTTAAAGGAAACCTTGGAGGAGGAGGATATGGCTTTCAGAAAAGACTCCTGAGTGCGGCTGCAAGCTGAGCCTTGAATGCAAACAAACCAACACCTGCAATTTCCTGACTGATGCATGAAGCCCCTGACACATATATACACACACACACAAACACACATAAGCCAGGTTGGCTTTAAACACAGTGGAAGATGAAGAAAAACCCGGATGACATCATTCTAGATCGCCTCGCTGTAACTGATAGCAACAGCGAGGTTGGCGGTGAATAAACCCAAACCACCTGACTTGCTGTTATGGATGGGTGGTTGGTGGGAGAGAGAAAGAGGATCAAAGATGTAAGGCTAGAAATGCTTCAAGACAATTCCTCATTAGCAAGAAATAAGATAGCTGAACATCTGCTTAGTTTAAATGTTTTAAATGAGGGGGATAAAACGGGACACGGGGCTCAAAGAAGAAATAAAGGCTGCTGTAGATTTATAACTAATCCCACAAAAAGGCCTTCCTATCCCGTATGTCGGTCGCCTTTCTTCTAAAAAGAAAAAATGTAAATCCCAAATATTAAAAAAGTATTTTCAAATTTATTAGTACATTAGTAATATGTGTGTAGAAATTAGTCAAATTGAGCTGCAGCACTTGTGCTTTATGAAATAAGATATATCAGACATAGGCAATACAGATGATACTTGTTTAGGGGAAAAATGTCGAATATCTCATATCCCTTCACGAGATTGTGTTTACTGTGCAGCTGGGTCTGTGGAGTATCCAAATAAATCTCCATTTTATTGCAACAGAAATATTATAGATGTTCCCTGTTTTGCACAAGAATAAAAAGATATTAAGCGCCTCATTTGAAGGACCCATTATGGGTTTTAATGGGTATCAAACGCTTTAGGTTGGAGATGGTTATGGTTATGTTAAGAGCCATTGTTGGGGTCGGCAGCTGCCAATTCTGCTGGAGGAGGCCAGATTTGTAAGCAGCCTGAAAGAAAGTGCTTCTTCAAGGGTAAAACTGGCGTGGAATGGGGTGGGGGTAAACATGCGCAGTGTGCTGCACTGTACAGCCGGATTTGTGTACATTCATCAGCCGTGCTCACCCCGATATTTCGCTCGCTGCTCCATACACAGCCACAAACATGCGCCATATTTAAAGTCAGAGGTCAGTGGAGCTGGCGGAGGGCAGGGAGCCGGAAAAGAACAGTCATGGAGAGAGTGAGAGAGGACGTAAGTGACTGAGACAGGGAGTCGTAGGGCTGGGGGAAATGGCAAAGTGGAGAGCGTAAGCGGCGGAGAGAGCGAGCAAAGAGAGCTGGGGGTGCAGAGGAGCACAAGGGCTGCCAAGTGAGTGGGTTTGGCAGCGTATGCGTGCACTCAAGTCCACTCTATCTAGGATGAAAGCATACTAAGGCCCTGACATCTCACAAGCTTGTAACCCTCCTTATGTGCAGGAGCTTGTTTGCCAGAAGTCACTTTTATGCATGTAGTGTGGTGCAGACTATTTATGGGGCATCATTAGGCGACTACTGTTTGAGGGTCAGCCTAGTTTTTATCATCACAGGTCAACAAATTATATAGATATCACAACAAATGCAAAAAATGGTATTCATCAAGGGGGGGGGGGGAGCAGTGCGACTGTAACAGCGAGTCCTTGTGATGACCTTCAAGGAAAATTGGCTGGCATGGCACCCACTAAGGGCTCAAGTTGTCTCTGATATGTTCAGATTTAACCAAACAACCTCTTATGTGGCATTAAAGCCGCTCCGGGAGACAAATGGACTGCACGGCTCAGTGTACGATATCCTTTCAGACTGTTACAGAGAAGTCGAGCCTGTTTCTACAGTAAAGAGGAAAACATTGTGGAACGTTGCAGCTAATGCAGCATGACAGCTTGTCAGTTTCATGGTCTGAGACAGAACCCAGAAAAAGCTGCAAACCATCCCTTGTTTTAACCCCCTCCTCCTCTTCGGTCTTCCTCCCCTCCCTCCTACTTCTGCACCCATACTTTTTCTGTATCTTATTTTCCCTTTGCACTAAAAAACTGATGTTTATTTTGGATCCGTGTCAATCCTCGCAGCCCTTATATCACTCACCGCAAAACTTCCTTTCCTCCTCAGACTTCTCCTATTTGCTCCCCTTATTCTGTCTAATTTTTACTCTTTTTTTTTTTTTACAGTAATTCACCTGCTGCTGAAAGAGGGGCCTGAGGAGGTACACGTTTTTTGGATTATTTATGATGTGCTCTGAGAACATGCTAATCTCTATTAGATTTGTCCTGAGAGAGGCTGTGCGGTTTGTGTGCGAGAGGTTCACATTAGGCTGACAGGATTCTGAGCTGAGAAAAAGAGGGGAAATGTTTCATATGCTTTACGTCTTTTAACAGGTTTTAATAGATCAGGGTTTTATGGATAAACCCTGCAGAAAATACAAGTCCTTGACACTCTCATCCGCTGCTCTTTTAGCCTGTAGTAACTAGGAATACGGGCAGTTTTCTTTGCAACAGCCAATCTGATTTTCGGCATGAATAATGTAGTGCAGCGCTTTAACTGAGCAGCGTAACACTGTGTGTCACAGATGTCTTATTATAATTTTAATTCATTCGCTTCTTGATAAAAATCTCTGTAGCTGCTGCTCTCCTTTGTTGCTATGGAGACCTAATCAGCTAACCAGAGGTGGGTGGTTGATGAATAATTATTATTGCAAAAAAATAAAAAAAAATTCAAGCGCACACACACACACACGCATAAAGAGACATGCACACATCCACATGTGCTCACATCTCACCCACGAAGTTCATTACATACGTGGACTCTGGTTACAGTGTCAGTGTCACGGGGTGCCCCTGATTAGGGCAACTTCCTGTGTGGCCTGCAGCTCACGGACGCGGATGGGGTTTCTATGGGGCAAGGCGAGGGAGGGCTGCAAGGAGGCGAGGGGGGAGAGGGGGGGGAGGCTGATATAGAAATGGTTTGCGTATGTGTGTGTGGTTGAGAGAGAGAGAGAGAGAGAAAGCAAGCCCCCAAGGCCTGACATGGGTTTGAGAGGCACAGCGGGGGCTCTGTCCTGCACCCCTATAACGCTGACATCGCCCCCACCCAACCTCTGCATACACATACACACGTATATGGAGGGAAACCCACTCTGATTTCCTGCTATTACGCCCCATTAAAGCAGCTGTCAGTCCAAAGCCAGATGAGAGGCTGACACAGATGAGGAAATATCTCCAGAGGTTTGAAAGCAGCCCAAAGGATCTGGACTTGCAGCGGTGTTTAGCCTAGTTTAAATCTGGCCTAAACCCAGATTACAGTTTATATTTACAGAAGTAACCATTGCACAGGCCCCAGCCCTGCAGCAAAGCTTCAATGCAGCATTTTTTAAAATAGCATCACATTTTCAGAGTGACTTATAAGGACATCGAATCCAAAAGTACTGATGTTATTGTGCAAAAGAGGGGTTTCGTCCACATATTGTAACCATACTAACTATTCTCTTCTTGCAGTAG